GAATGATAATAATATCTAATTATAAAATGATACCGATCGTAATAGCGATGGCGATAATAGTCATAATAATAACGTCATAATAGCTATCATTATAATGATAATGACAGTAATAACAATAGTAACAATAACAATCAAAACAAGTACAACAACCAAAAACAAGTACAACAACAGTAATAACAACCAAAACTAGTACAACAGCAATAACAACAGTAACAGCAACAACCCTTGACTTCAGCGCCTTCTCTTACCTGAGGAAATGCCTCGAGATGGACCCGTGCTCGTCCGCCCTCTCCTCGTGCTTCCCCTCGACCTCCACCACGCCCTCGACCACCCGCACCTTCAGTTCGTCGGGCGTGAACTGCTGCACGTCCAGGCACATCTGCGTTCAAGGCAGCTGCGTCAGAGGGCGTGGTTTTTGCGTCGTGGTGACGTCATGGATATTGGGTTTGGATGTTATTTTGTGTGGTTTGTGTCGTGGATATGTGTGTGTGTGTTTTGTGTCGTGTGTGTGTTTTTTGTGTCGTGTGTGTGTTTTGTGTTGTGAATGTGTGTGTTTTTGTCGTGTATGTGTGTGTGCTCTGTGTCGTGTTGTGTTTGTATGCGTGTGTGCTTAAATTGTTCAAGAGTTTTTGCGAGTATTTATGTCGTATATTAATAATTAATAAAAGTTTCGATTATTATTATTGTTATATTGCATTTATGAACGAGTATGGATTCACTTACAAACTTCTACATAAATCGTATTCGCCAATTAACTGATAATCCGATTATACTTCCTCATCATCACCCCTCATCATCCCTCATTCCCCTCACTCCTCCACTTTCCCTCACTTCCTCCTCACCATGAACTTGTCCTGATCCTGTGAGAGCTGCGACACTCCCGACCTCTCCTTCGGCGGCCTCCTGGATCGCATGTACAGGGACGAGCTCGGGACAGACACGTCTTCAGGAGCCATGGAAGCGCCGAAGTGCTTGGGGGGGTAGGGGAGGGGTGGGGGGGGGGAGAGAGAGAGACACATGGGGATGGTTATTCTTGATTTATGATTGAGGTGTATAGTGTTGTGAATTATGATTATGTGTTTTGTGGTTGATAGGGAGGTGGAAGGGGGGAAGAAAGAGAGAGAGAGAGAGGGGGGGACGAGGGAGAGGGAGGGAGGCGATACAGTGAGGGAAAGAGAAAGAAGAGAAGGAAAGAGAGCGAGAGTGGGAAAGAAAGAGAGAGAGAGGAGAAAGAAAGAGAGAGAGAAAGAGAAAGAAAGATAGATAGAGAAACAAAGATGTTTTATGTATGTATATGCAGCATGCATGTATTCATATAAATACCTTTCATGAAACAGCAAACACGAGATAACAAACAAAAACAAAAAATTCAGCACCCAACGTAACCCAGCATGCACCCCTTCCCTCCCTCTTCCCCTTCCCATGGAACTGAATAAGCCCTCTCAACCCCCCTCCCCTCCCCCTCATTACAACCCAAAGCCACCCCTCACCCTCACCTTCCCCTCATTGCACCCAAAGCCACCCCTCACCCTCCCCCTCCCCATGCAACTGAATAAGCCCTCTCTCTCCTCCCCTTCCCCCTCATTGCAACCCAAAGCCACCCTCCCCCCCCCTTCCCCCTCATTGCAACCAAAGCCACCCCTCCCCCTCCCCCATGCAACTGAATAAGCCCTCTCAACCCCCCTCCTCTCCCCCTTCCCCCTCATTGCAACCCAAAGCCCCTCCTCCCCCTCCCCCTCATTGCAACCCAAAGCCACCCCTTCCCCTCCCCCATGCAATTGAATAAGCCTCTCAACCCCCTCCCCTCCCCTTCCCCCTCATTGCAACCCAAAGCCACCCCCTCATTGCAACCCAAAGCCACCCCTCCCCCTCCCCCATGCAACTGAATAAGCCTCTCAACCCCCCTCCCCTCCCTTCCCCCTCATTGCAAACCCAAAGCCCCTCCCCCTCCCCCTCCCCCATGCAACTGAATAAGCCCTCTCAACCCCCTCCCTCCCCTTCCCCTCACTGCAACCAAAGCCACCCCTCCCCTCCCCTTCCCCCTCATTGCAACCCGAAGCCCTCTCAACCCCTCTCCCCTCCCCTTCCCCCTCATTGCAACCCAAAGCCACCCCCTCATTGCAACCCAAAGCCACCTCCCCCTCCCCCTCCCCATGCAACTGAATAAGCCCTCTCAACCTCCCTCCCTCTCCCCTTCCCCCTCATTGCAACCTGAAAGCACCCTCCCCCTCCCCATGCAACTGAATAAGCCCTCTCAACCCCCTCCCCCTCCCCCTTCCCCTTCATTGCACCCAAAGCCACCCCCCCTCCCCCATGCAACTGAATAAGCCCTCTCAACCCCCTCCCCTCCCCTTCCCCTCACTGCAACCCAAAGCCACCTAAAAGCCGTCATCGCCACACACTTGGTCCTTCACCTGGTCGAAGAGCCTGGACGGCCGCTCGAAGACATCTTGGCGCCTCTCCCGTTCGCCGAAGATGTCTCGGTCGGAGAAGATATCTCGGAAGAAACGGGTCGCGTCCCTGAGAAGGGGTCGCGGTACATCATGGGGATCTGGCGGGACATTTGTGGGGCGGGAGGGTGGAGAGGGTGAGTTGTTGTGGGCGGGAGGGTGGAGAGGGTGAATTGTGAGGGTGAGTCGTGATGGTGAGTTGTGAGGGTGAGTCGTGAGGGTGATTCAGAGAAAGTGGAATAGGTTACTGTGGATGAGAGGAAAAAAGTGGTTGAGTTTGAGTTGGGGCTGAAAGAGTGGAAGAGGTTTCCATGGGTGAAGAATGAGAGGGTGAATTGGGAGGGGAGACTGAGAGAAAAGTGGAATAGGTTCCTGTGGGTGGGAGGAAAGAGACTGAAAGAGTGGAATAGTTTTTGTGGGTGGAAAAAATGAGAGGTTGGGGGAGACTGAGAGAAAGTGGAATAGGTTTCTGTGGGTGGAAGAATGAAGAGTGAGTCCCTGTTCGTGGTGGGAGGAAAGACGTGAAATTTAAGATAGAGACTGAGAGTGAAATAAGTTTAATG